GGAAAAATATGGGGGATTTTTTTATTTGTGTGTATTAATTTGCGTGTCCTGGGGCCCCTTCAATAACTCAAGACCCCCTTCGGGTCATGAGAAAATCACGACGTGGTGGTACGGGGCGCAAGCTTCGGCCGCGGGGTGCTCTCGCCGGGCCCCGGGACCGCCAAGAAGCGACGCGGGAGGAAAGACCGGCCCCAGATGAAAAGAAAGCCACGACGTCGGGGCGGAAAAGAGGGGGGTGATGACCAGGGGTCGGGGGAGCGTAAGACCCGGGTTTGCCAGGACTCGGGTTCGCCATCGTTTTTTGACGACCGCGCATCGGATTTTGACGAGGAGGAGTTTCGTGGGATGTCTGCAGCGGGAGGCCTCGTCAAAATGCAGGCTCGGCCTCGTCATTTTTTTGACGACCTCGTCGGGGATTTCCGAGTTTCCTCTACCCAGGTCTTACGTCCCCCTGAAGGGGGCGGGGGATATCATGGCAGGGGCCATGATGTGTCCACAGATTTCATGGCGCCTCTTCTTATTCCATTACGTGCCTGGCCCCCCCGCTGGGCCGCGCAAATGCCGCCGGTCATGAGTTGCACCCCCCCCCCTCTTGGACACCTTCTCTTGGCCGCTCCCGAGGGGGGGGATCCAGGCGTTGCAAATGTTTCACCCACTCGTGTCCGCCCGTTTGCGGGACCGGCCCTCACAGATCCATCGGGCTTCGAAGAGTGCCGCAGAAGGTTGGGGTCTAGGACTCCTGTCACGATTTCTCGCGATGCCGGCGTGGCCCCCGCCAATCTGTCCTGGACCCCTGGCGTCAGCCCGGGAGAGGAGGAGGAGGAGGAGGAGGAGGCAGTCGCAAACTCCAAATTCCCCCTTCTTGGACTGTACGATCCACATCGGATTCCCAGAACCACACAACTTCATTGGCCTCAGGGGGAGGGCCTGCAGATCGATCAAGGGGCTTGAGCCCCCGACCACATACAGCGGGGCATTCCACTTCACGAGCAGCACGCGACGCGATGAAAGGTAAGCAATACGCTCGAGAACGAGGTCAGGAACATTTTCAATGGCATGTCAAGCCCAGAAACGGTGGCAAGGTGACCCAAAGCATTCCCCGCATTTGGGGCATTTACCGTTCGCAACAGTCTTATACCCCTCATCGCGAAGCCTCTGGTCAGCCCAAAAGCCTCCAGGCACAAGATTCCTCAAAACCCCCTGCCCCTCAAAATCCAGGTCATTCCCCATCCTGGAGAAGCTCACCTTTGACAAGCGAAAGCAGCCCCACTCTGAACCCCCATTCTATGGCAGTGATTGGCAGCCTGGGTCCAGATGAGCTTGATTTAGGTGCCCTTGACAGCTCGCAAAAGGTGGACAGATAAATCTTCTGGGCAAAGATGCTGGCCGTCCTCATTGTGCCAGCTGACAGGCGAGATGTGCTGCCACTACATCTCGAGCAGCGCCGCAACAGTGGCTGGCACGGGGCCACGCGCCCTGCGCCACACTGTTCCTAGGGAGACGGGTGAACTCCTCATAATAATCATCCCAGATATTAGCAACACGCATTGTCTCCTTGTGATCTACACTCCAAACCTGAACAAAACCAAGGGGCTTTTCCGTCCTCAGGCGAAACATCGGGCCATGGGACTCCGAACCAAGATTGCCGAGTACGCTGGTCGCGCACGCTGAAGCATGCCAACAGCCAGAACAAGCAGCAGCTTGGCCTCTGGCGCTCTGCGCCTGAGGTCCTGGCATTCCCACAGCATTGTGGCCCAAGGTCCCAAATCGCTGACACTCCTGGTTTGTACAGCTTGGAAGTGTTTGTTTCACGAGGCGGGTCAGGAAATGAACCTGCTTCGTTTTAACAACCGTCTTCTTTTGCCACTTCTGAATGATCGACGTGGTACGTCGCTTGCTGGCAGTGGTGGTGGTACCGAGGTCCTTGGTGTCATTGCTCATCTTGCTGCTCCAATCAGCAGCATGAAGATCAATCAGCTCTGGCAGCGTGACAAACTTCTGATTGCTCACAACATTGGATTTCTGAGACAAAATTAACCAGCTTTCTGGATGGCGTGCGCCAGGTTGACACAGGCAGCAACAGGGGCCTTACGCACGACCTTAGGTGGTCCCTGAGCAACTTGCGCTATATGATCAGCATACGCTTTAGTAGTCAGCCCAGGATCTTTATTATGTATATAAGTAATCATATGATGCGGGTAAATATTGGCCATGGCTTTACTCTGCATACATCCTGGAAGCATTCCAGTACCAGCTTCATTAATATTAGAAATTCACTCTATTCAACTATGCGCGGGGCCACCTGCACCAGGAGGCCCAGATATAAGAGATGCGGTGGGAAATTCGAATCACAAGCTAGCTTGACCAACCTGGCGGACACGACTGTATCGAAAAATTTGGTGAGGCCCCAGTGGACCGCAATGTTGGCCTGCCCGCCGTAGCTGGCCAGCTCGTGAGAAAACTCCCCTGAGCGTTGCTTGTAGCGCTGAGCTTCCCTTGATGGCGGAGTCCCAGAATGCAACGTGACTGCGACCCGAAGAATCCACGAAAAATCCTCGCAGCTTACACTATATATATATATATATATACAGAGATGCATGGGTGTGTAAAAAGAGGCATCCATATACACACATATCCTTACAGAGTGGAGCATTTGCAACCCAGCCATTCCTTAGTCTTGCTTTCGGGGAACAGGGCAATGATCCCGAGGAAAATCTGGGACGGCCACACCATGAGCCGCCCACACTCACGGCAAAGCCCCACCAGGGCCTCATCAGCAAAGGACTCCAGACTTAGAATCTCCTGCGGGTTCCAGTGATCAATTCCCGCCGCAGAAGCCGCGCACCACAGGTTACTCTTGCCTAGGGTCACTTTCTGCGTTGAGCCGAACTTGGGCTTAGCGTGTCGCTCCGCCAGTTCTGGCCTACCACGCTTCGGCGCGACACGCTGTCCACGTCCAGCGTCAGCGTCCTGAGCTTTCCCCAGCCCCCGCCCCGCGGAGCAGAGCGATACACTATCCTTTCGCAGGGCACTGCGTGTCGCTGGGGCCGCCGCCGCGACACGTTAAGCAAAAGCTGTCGACCGTACCAGCGTTTCCGTCGCAGGGGTGGCGAATGCGCACCAGGCGGGGCGCTGCTGGGCGAATCGTACACAGACCAGGGAGAGGGGAGGGCGGCCGCGGAGGAGGAGGAGGAGGAGGAGGAGGTGCCCTGGGGGGGCGTCCTGGGGGGGGGGTCCTGGCGGGGGGGGTCCTGGGGAGCACACTGGGAGGTGTCCTGGGAGGTGCCCCGCAGGGTACGGTAGGTTCGCGTCGTGTCGACCGGCGGCGACCCCGACGCCGGCGTTCAACGTTGAACGCCGGCGGAGGCCCAGAATCGGTCGACGTTGAACGATCGGACGTTGCGGAAATGGCCGATCGTTCAAGGTTGAACGATCCTCGCGGCGTCAGGGACCAACGCCCAGGTCGACACGGCACGAACCTGCCGTACGCTCAGACCATGAAGGACCATGGCGTCGAGGATCCAGTCAAGACGCCGAAACGAGGGCCACGCTGGGCTCGGGAGGCGCTCTAGCCTTCAAGAGTCGGGGCCGCTCCTGTCCGGCCAGAAAAGCCCCGTCGCTGCTCGTTCGGCGTCCCCCAAGGTGGTACGATGACCGTGTACTGGGAAGCGGCGGGGGATTCAAGAAGCGGTCCAGCGGGCCCAGGCCAGGCTGAGCGGCTGCTGGAACGCGCGCCGTCCGCCTCGTGGCCTTTGCTTGATCGCGCCTTGCTGGCACCGGAAGCGGCGGGAGCACACCGTGGTTCTGTGTGCGAGGCTGCGGCTCCGCGCCTGGCGGCGAGCGGGGGAGGGCTGGGCTGGCTCCATGGGGGTGTGGTTCCGGAGGGGGCCGGGGGGCCCCACCCTCCGCCACCCTCCGGCCAGCTCGACCCCCTTCGCCCAGCGCCCCTCGACCCGCGCGCCGCCAAGGTGCGATGCGCACCCCCAGGCCCAGGGCGGCAGGCCGCGCGCTGGAAGCATACAGGCGGTCCTGGGGGGCTCCCGGATCCTGGCCCATCTTGAGCGCCTTTCTGATTCGAAAAGCGATGGTTAAATCGTCTATTGCCTGGGCGGTCCGAAGCCCAATATGTTTTCCGCATTCCGTCTTCATGTTTCTACCGATCTCTGCCGAGCGATTTCTAGGCACACTCTTGGACCCCCGAAACACGCTGTCCTTCGAGTGAGGGCCTGGGCTCTGCGAGGTCTCCAGTTAATCGAGGCCCCAGGCGTGCGGCCAGACCCGCCGGATGCCCGCAGGAGAGACGTCGCAAGTCCGAGAGGCCTCGGCAACTGTTGAGGGCTCGCCCAGGGTTCGGTCGATCGGCTCTGAATCACAGAATGATGCTTGCAGGCACGTGCAGCGGCCTGCCGGCTGCCAGATGGGCGACGCAGGAAGTCGGGGTCGTCGTCGTCGTCGTCGACACTGGCGCTTGAGCTGCCCGTCGGGTCGCCAAGTCATCTCGCCCGTCGGTCGGGCACGCCCCGGGCGATCCTGACGGTGCTGCGGAGGACCCTCTGAGAGGCAGTGTGGAGGGCGCATTATGTCCGCGGCCGCTTGCCTCCCAATTCGGGAGTTGCCGAAGGTGTTTCTGGCCCAAGGTGCCCCCCGGCCTCTTCGCTCCATTTTGGAGCCCCGGGGGCCCTCTGCGCCTCTTGGAGGGATTCGGGAGCTGCTGAAGGTGTTTCTGGCCCAAGGTGCCCCCAGCCTCTTCGCTCCATTGTGGAGCCCCAGGGGCCCTCTGCGCCTCTTTGAGGGGTGCCCTGGAGGCTGTCCCACGTAAACTCGGCGGTCCGCGCGGTTTGGGTCTGCGCTGGAACTCCCTGGCGGCGCGCGCCCCGCGCGCCAGGGAAGGGGGTCCTGCGCCGATCCTAGAAATCCGCGTAGACTGTCGAAACTTCATGTTTACGCAGCTCTTCTTCTTCCGGACACCCGACCCGTGACCTCCCTGGCGCCCCCCCCAGGCATGGCAAGGAGAGGCGGCGGAGGAAGAGGTAGCGCCGCCGCTGGCGCAGCTCCGATGCCGACCCTCGCCATCCGGCCTTCGGGCGGGCGTATGAAGAAAAGTTGGCGGGCGCGCGGCCGCGCGTGCGGATGGAGGGGCAGCAGCAGGACGAGGGCGGGAGGAGGACGAGGAGGAGGGGGATGATGATAAGGAGAACGACTAGGAGGAGGAGGAGGAGGAGGAGGAGGAGGAGGAGGAGGGAGGAAATTTCATCACCCCCATCGTCCGTCTGCTCGTCGAGAGGCTGCTGCTGCCGATGCCTGCTTCTCCTTCCGCTCCTCCCCCTCCTCCTGACGAGCTCTGGTTGAAAGGCCATCCTGAGCTCATGGGCGGAGATATCATTTCCTGAACGGAAGCCTCCTGGACGGGGATCTCCCTGCCGAGGCCCACAGCTTGGGCTATGCCACCGTTGCCCGTCGAGACGATCGGCCCGTGTCGGCCGCGGTGTTAGTTGGAGGCTTTCCGTCTGCTTTGTATGATATCGACGCCATCGGCCATCGGATTCTGGGCTTTTCTCCGAGCGTTGCATCTCGCCTTGCTCAGTGCGTCGTTCTGGACCGACTCGCAGTTTGCTTTCGACGGTGTGCACAAGCGAGGCAAGGCACACTGTCGTTCGGCCAAAGCAGCGTGGGCTGACATTTGGCTGACGGTGTGGGCCGTCATAGAAATTCGTGGGGTGGTCGAGGATTTCCGCGTGTAAAAGGGTCAGGCCCACACTAGTGTTGCGGACCTTGAGCGGGGGCGGATATCCGAGAAGCAGCACGAGAGTAACATGATTGTTGATACGACGGCTAAGGAGGCTGCCAGCTTCAAGTCCGCTGCGGTATCGCAAGAATCGCTCCCAGGCCAAAGTCCTCTGGTGTCTCACCTCGTGGATCGGCCGCATCGGTTGTAAGATGGCTGACCTTGATTGTATGCATGTTTGGGGGCAGCCGACTCAAGGTGAGCCCAAGCCCACGTGTGTGTGCGTGTGCCGCGGAGTCACTGCCCGTCACCGTGCTTCCCGTGCTGCCTCGTGCTGGCGTGGCGCTCGCCATCCTCCGCCGTGACGCCCACGTGACTCACCAAGCGTGCCCCATCACCCTCTTCACAGGAGCCAAGGTGTCGCTTGCGCCGTCTGTGGCACAAGGGGGGGGGTCCACCGTTTCTCCCGCCTTCAGGAGTGCTTGCTATCGCCGTCCCTCTGCCTGGGTGTCTCGGGTGCTCACGGGCACTCGCGCAGGGCAGGCACCTCCAAGGGAAGTCGTGGGTCCCCCTGGCAGAGCCTCGGAGGCCACAGCAGCGTGTCGGCAGTGGTCAGGCTCCGTGTCCGTTGTGGTGGGAAGGAGGGGCCCTGTCGTTGGCCCTCGCCTCGGTGGATCGCAGCCCAGGTGATGCGGCAAGAAGGTCTTCTCGGATGCCCCCCCCCCTTTTCCAGGTTGCTGCAGGACTGAGGGAACTCTCTCTCCCTTTGTCCTCTGATGAGCGCGCAGGAGGAGAAGAACAGAGGAGCAGGAGGCGGGGGGAAGAGAATCAGCGAGAATAGTGGTCTCGGGAAGGCATGAAGGAGCAGGCCTGCGACAGGGGCCAGGACGAGCATAAGGCGAAAGCGAAGTGGATGGAGAAGCACAAGGGGAGGAAGGAGGAGGAGGAGGAGGAAAAGGAGGTAGCCGCGACTAGGGCAAACCCAAGCGGGACGGAGGAGGAGGAGGAGGCGGAGGATGACTAAGCCGCGTGGTATGGCCCAACGCAGGAGCTTCGTAGAGCGATGACGACCATCATTATCAGCATCCTCATCTTCATCATCAGCAGCAGCAGCAACATCAGCAGCATCACCAACATCAACAGCATCAGCATCATCATCCTCATCGTCATCAGCATCAGCATCAGCATCATAATCAGCAGCAGCAGCCCCATCACAATCACCATCACCACCATCACCAACAACAGCATCATCATCACCATCATCATTATTATCATTCGTATCTTATGGCCATCATCTTATTGAGGAGACGGCGAGCCACCTGGCCAATCGATGTATTATGTGGGCGTTGGCCACGGCGAGGAGTCGGACTCAGAGGACGATTGGAACAACCGGCGCGTGCCGTACGTCAGCGAGATGTTGCAGGGCAGCAGTTTCGACAACGCGAGGGCGAGGACGCGCAGGGCCACCGACCAGCTGGCCAGAGAGAGATGCGCCAGGGCGTGACAGCGCGGCGTGCCGTACCGCCTGCGCCACGTGGCATGGCTCCGGACCTTCACTAACGGTCAGAGGTATATCGCGGCCCTCATTGACAACGTCGAGCACAGGGCGCTACGGAAGTGGATCAACAGGCAAAATCGTCAAGGGCAACTTCCTCCCACGGGACCGCCCCGAAGGGCCTATCCGTCGGACCGACGGCGCGCACTCCCCAGGCCCCCGACGTCACGATTCTGTTCACAGCGTCGGGTCCAGGAGGTCTCGACCCGTTTCCCAGGACCAGTTCCCGTTTTTTGTTCACCCCTCGGCGCATAAAGGTGCCGCCGCGATGCGGCCGCGCCGGCCGCCGCGGCCGCCGCTGCGGCCTCGAAGGTGGCCGCCGCTGCGGCCGCGGCGGCGGCCGCGGCAGCGCGGCACCTGCTGCGCGGAGGGTGCGGAAGGTGCAGGTCGAGGGACGGCGCGAGGGGGTCTGCCTCCGCTCCGCTCCGCCCGCAGTCCTGCTGAGTTTCGTTTCCGCCTCACGGGCGGGCATCCATGCCGTCGTCCCTCGAGCCACCGAGGGGTCTCCGATTGCGCACTCCTCTGCCCACGCATCCTGCTGGATGGTCGGCTCATGCTGCTGAGGGGTCCGGCGGTCTGATCTGGAGGAGGGCAAAAAGTAGTGGAGGAGGAGGAGGAGGAGGAGGAGGAGGAGGAGGAGGAGGGGGACGAGGAGGAGGAGGAGGAAGAGGAGGAGGAGGAGGAGGAGGAGGAGGAGGAGGAGGAGGAGGATGGGGGGGAGGGGGGCGAGGAGGAGGAGGAGGAGGAGGAGAGCGGCATGGAGGTGGGCGGCATCCTGCATGCTCGGTCTGGCTCCGCCCCGCTCCACCCGCGCCCCCCTCGGCCCAGGTCGGGGCGGTGCCCGGGGAGCGGAGCGCCCCGGAGCCCGTGGGCGCCCGCGGCGGCCTGCACTGACCGGGGGGCCCCGGGCGGTGTTGGAGCCAGCCGCGGGGTCTGATCGGGGGCAGCGACAGGGGGGGATAGGCCAAGGGGGGGATAGGCCAAGGGGATAGGCCAAGGGGGGGATAGGGGATGGCCAAGGGGGATAGGCCAAGGGGGGGGATGCATCGACTCCCAATCGCCCACTGATCGTCGATAGGGGCCCGATGGCCCCAACCTGCCCAGGAAGGTGCGGATTCACTATCGGAGGCCTGTCGCCGATCTATCGGCGATGTATCGCCGATTCCAGGTCGATGCATCCCCCCATATGCCAGTCCCCCCCTATCGTTGCCCCTCATGGCCCAGCACCTGTTCCGGCCAGCAGAAGTCAGCGGCGCGCAGAGGGGGGGGTTAGGGGGAGGGGGAAGGCTTCTTGGAAGGAGGCTGCTTCTTAGAAGGCGCGGGCCTCATCTGTAGATAGAAGGCAGGCGCCTTCTGAGAGGCAGCTTCCTCCTAAGAAGCCTCCCTCCCTCCCCCTACCCCTCTGCTCGTGGCCGAACGAATGGGGGACGAGGTTCGAGGTTTGGGATTCGACACGTTCGTTTGCATTTTGCGGCCTCTGGGGGCCTTTTTCGGGCCCTGGGGACCGAAAAAAACGGATCCGGGGGGGAAACTGCACCAGATGGACCCCGGGAGGGGTTCGGGGATCAATTTTGAGCGGATTTGGTTTTTATTTCGGAGGATGCTAAGTCCGTACACCACGGAGTAAGTCCGCACGCAGTGCTCGGTCCCCGTGCGGATTTGTTGCGTTCAGGCGTAGGCTCTTCCGACAGGGTGCTTCTGCCCGTGCGGGGTACTCTGTCCGCACGGAGTGCTCGGTCGCCGCGCGAACTTGCTCCGTCCGGACGGAGCCCCTTCCGGGCCCCAAAAGCGATTGGGTGCACGAGGGGGGGAGGAGGAGGAGGAGGAGGAGGAGGAGGAGGAGGAGGAGGAGGAGGAGGAGGAGGAGGAGGAGGAGGAGGAGGAGGACAACGAGACCTTTCCGAACCCGCATGGCTTCTCACTTCAGCGTCTTAGCTGCATCCCCCCTTGGCCGATTTTCTCGGGCGGATCCAGTTCAGACCCCCTCGGCCGCCTCCAAGGTCGGTGCGCGCGGTGGCGCCGCGCCTCGCGGGCCGGGGGCCGGCCGCCTGCAGGCGGGCAGACCGCGCACAGGCAGCCTCCCGCGAGGTGATGGGGAAGGAGCAAGCTGGCCGTGGCCAAGACCCAGGCCCCCTCGGGTCCTGAAATGAGCACGACAGAAGGTTTGGGGACAGCCTTCGGCCTCCGGGGGCCTTCGCCAAGCCCTGGGACCGTCAAAAAACTCTTCGGGATGAAATCGGCTACGCGTAAGAGTGACCTTTTGTCGGAGTGACATCTGGTGCGGGAGCACAGGGGTCCCCCCAGAACTGGCCTGCACGCTCGGATTTGGCGTCCCCGCGGCACCCTAAAGCCGCGCACCAAGGCTCACTCTTACGTAGGGTCACCCTTGCGTGTGCCCGATGAAGAAGTGGCCCTGGGGAGCGGATGAGGACTTCCAGGGACAGCGCGATGACAAAAAACCTGGACATCGCATGTATAGGGCTGCCAGATGGGCAGGCCGCGGACGGGCAGCCCGCCGAGGCTGCGAGAAAAAAAGCACGCTGACCATGCCCAGGATGTCACGGGATCCCGGACCCCCCACTCCTCCTCCTCCTCCTCCTCCTCCTCCTCCTCCTCCTCTTCCTCCTCCTCCCTCCCTCCCTCCCTCCCTCCCTCCCTCCCTCCCTCCCCTCCCCCTCCCTCCCTCCCTCCCCCTACCCTCCCTCCTCCTCCTCCTCCTCCTCCTCCTCCTCCTCCTCCTCCTCCTCCTGCTCCTTCTCCTCCTCCTCCTGCTCCTCCTCCTCCTCCTCCTTCTCTCCTCCTCCTCCTCCTCCTCCTCCTCCTCCTCCTCCTCCTTCTCCTCCTCCTCTCCTCCTCCTCCTCCCCTCCACCTCCTCCTCCTCCTCCTCCTCCTCCTCCTCCTTCCTGATCCTGATCCTGCTCTCCTCCTCCTCCTCCTCCTCCTTCCTCCTCCTCCTCCTCCTCCTCCTCCTCCTCCTCCTTCCCCTCCTCCTCCTCCTCCTCCTCCTCCTCCTCCTCCCTCCTCCTTCCTCCTCATCCTCCTGCTGGTCCCCTCATCCTCCTCCTCCCCTCCCCCTTGTCCTCCTCCCCCTTCTCCTCCTCTTCCTCCTCCTTCCTTCCTCCTCCTCCTCCTCCTCCTCCTCCTCCTCCTCCTCCTCCTCCTCCTCCTCCTCCTCCTCCTCCTCCTCTTCCTCCTCTCTCCTCTACCTCCTCTCCTCCTCCTCCTCCTCCTCCTCCTCCTCCTCCTCCTGCTGCTGCTCCTCCTCCTCCTTCTCCTCCTCTTCTCCTCCTCCTCCTCCTCCTCCTCCTCCTCCTCCTCCCCTCCTCCTCCTCCTCCTCCTCCTCCTCCTCCTCCTCCCTCCTCCTCCTCTACCTCCTCTACCTCCTCCTCCCCTCCTCCCCTCCCTCCTCCTCCTCCTCCTCCTCCTCCTCCTCCTCCTCCTCCTCCATTTCTCCTCCTCCTTCTCCCCCTCTTCCTCCGCCTCCCCTCCTTCTCCTTCTCTCCCCTCCTCCTCCTCCTTCCTCCTCCTCCTCCTCCTCCTCCTCCTCCTCCACCTCCTCCTCCTCCTCCTCCTCCTGTTGGTCCTCCTCCTCCTCCTCCTGCTGCTCCACCTCCTCCTCCTCCTCCTCCTCCTGCTCGTCCTCCTCCTCTCCGTGCTCCTCATCCTCCTCCTCCTGCTGCTCCTCCTCCTCCTCATCCTCCTCTTTCTCCTCCTTTCCTTCTTCGTATAACTGTATTATCTACATCGCACCCCGAGGCCAGTTTTTTAGGACGGGCCGGGTGTTTCTCCTGAGATGTCCGGGTCATTTTCAAGATATGGTTCTCGCCTTAGGGCCGCACACATTCGATGTGATAAGTTGCAAGAGCTTCACGGATTGAGGGCGGGTGGTTTTCAAATTGTGATTCTCGTTTTAGCGCCCCGAACGTTCGTTCGGGGCGCCGCGCGCAGTTTTGTAGAACAGTGCCACAGATTCACGGATTGAGGGCGGGTCGTTTTCAAAATGTGGTTATCGCTTGAGCGCCGCGCACACTTGTTGTTAACATTGCAAGAGCTTCACAGATTGAGGGCCGTTCATGTTCAAAATGTTGTTCTCGCTTGAGCGCCGCGCACAATTGCATTCAAATGTTGCAAGAGTTTCACGGGTTCCCATGGCCAACGCACCAGAAAGTGCGTTTTGGAAAGATTCAGGATTATGAGGGCGCAACAGTTATGTTGATTCGCGGTGTTGGAATCACAGGAATGGCGTTCTGGCACGATTCAGGGTCGTCAGACGCAGCAATCAGGTTGATCAGTGCCGTTCGAGTCCCGAGAATAATGTTTGGCATGCGCCAGGGTCTTCAATCGGTTGTCATCCAACGAGGCAGTTCCCTCAGTGGAAATGAACTTCTGTAGGGGCCTGTGAAGAGGGAGCTTGGAGGGAGGGTTTATGGCAACATCGTTTATGACTCCTGGGTTTACGCTCGTCCTCCTCCTCCTCCTCCTGCTCCTCCTCCTCCTCCAACTCCTCCCCACCCCCAGTTCTCCTCCTGCTCCTCCTCCGCCTCCTCATCATCATCATCATCCTCCTCTGTTTCCTCCTCTATTTTTTCTTTTTATGAATAAGTTCTCCCTGTCGCGCCCCAAAGCCAGGTTTTAGGGCGGTCCGGGCTTTTCGCATGAGACGTCCTCACCATGTATGACCTTGAAGCTTCAAATTGGCAACAGGTTCGCAGATGGAGGGCGAGTCGTTTTCAAAATGTGGCGCTCGTGTTAGCGCCGCGCATACTCGCTTAAAAGTTGTAAGAGCTTCACGGGTTGAGGGCGGGTGGTTTTCAACATGCATGTGGTTTTCGCTGTAGCGCCGCGAACATTCGTCTTAAATATTTGAAAGAGGTTCACGCATTGAGGGCGGGTGGTCTTCAAAATGTGGCTCTCGCTTGAGCGCCGCGTACATTCGTTGTTGAAAATTGCAAGGGTTTCACAGATTGAGGGCGATTCCTTTTCATAATGTGGTTCTCGCCTTAGCGCTGCGCGCACTTGCTTGTAAAAGTTACCAGGGGTTCACGGGTTCCCATGATCAGCGTGCCAGAAGTGGTTTTTCAGAAGGGTTCAGGGCTATCTGGGCGCAACACTTACGTTGATTAACGGTACTGGTGTCGCAGGAACGATGTTTTGGCCCGGTTTCAGATCGTCAAAACACAACAGTCAGGTTGATCCGTGGCGTGGGGATCGCGACACCAATGTTTTGGCATCCTTCGGGGTCTTCAAAAGTTTGTCTTCAAACGAGGCATTTCACTCTGGAAATGAGCCGCTGTAGGGGCCTATGAAGACGGAGCTTGGAGAGAGGGTTGATTCCAACCTCGACGGTAATTATTCGGTGTTCACTTGTCCTCCTCTCCCTCCTGCTCCTCCTCCTCCTCCTCCTCTTCCTCCTCCTCCTGCTTCTCCCTCCGTTCCCCCTCCTCCTCCTCCTCCTCCTCCTCCTCCTCCTCCTCCTCCTCCTCCTCATTCCCCACTCTCTCCTCCCCTCCTCCTCCTCCTCCTCCTCCTCCTCCTCCTCCTCCCTCCTCCGCCTCCTACTCCGCCTCCTCCTCCTTCCCCACTCCTCCTCCCTCCTCCTCCGCCTTTTCCTTCTCCTCTTCCTCCTCCTCCTCCTCCTCCTCCTCCTCCTCTCCTCCTCCTCCTCCTCCTCCTCCCCCTCCTCCTCATTCCCCACTCTCTCCCTCCTCCTCCTCCTCCTCCTCCTCCTCCTCCTCCTCCTCCTCCGCCTCCTCCTCCTCCCACCCTCCTCCTCCACCTGCTCCTCCCCCATCTCTCCTCGAGATATCCCCCCCCTTCCTCCCGCGCTCGCCAGCGCAAGCTCTTGAACCCCTAAACCCTTACACAGTTAAGCTCTTAGACCCCATTAAGCCCTTAAGCCCTTAAGCCGCTAAACCCTTGCATCGTTACGCCCTTAAGCCTTTAAACATGTTAAGCCCGCAAGCCCGTGAACTCTTGAAGCTTGAACATGGTAAGCCATTGAGTTGTTCAGTCCTTGCACCCGTAAGCCCCCAAACTGTTTATACTCTCAAACCTTCAAACCCTTAACCTTCTAAACCTGTAAATCCTTAAACATTTAAGCCCTTAAACCCTTAAGCCCTCGAATCCTCCAAGCCCTTAAACATCCTTAAACATGTAGACGCCCAAGTCCTTAACCCCATTGAGCCATTAAATGTGTTTCTCAACCCTTGAGCCCTTAAACCATTGAACCTTTAATCACTTAAACCTTAAGAAATGCCATTAACCCCTTCAACGCTTAAGCCCTTAACCCCTTGAGCATTTAAACACTGAAACCCTCAAATGCTCAAACCCTTCAGCCCTGAAACCATTAAGCACGCACATTATCAAACTGTTGTTTAACCATTCTTGAAGCATCCCCAGACAAACTTGGTACAAATTCCAACCAGGGTAATCATGTTAGCTTCTGGAATAATTGTGCACACATAAGCAGGTGACTTGGTTTGGGGATATACGGGCACCGCCTCACATTTAGAATCAGACAGTGAGTTTGTTTGTGCGGTTGGAGTTAGTACCTGTCTGTCTCTTCGAGCTGGTTGGAAAAAGGAACCAGCTGGTTTGGATTAGTCCCAGCTGGTTGGAATTGGTCCCGGATACCCCCGTGACCCCCAAGGGACTCCCATCCAATACCCCCCAGGAGACCCCCCCCGACGGGGGAGGGATCAAAGGGAAGGATCCTCCCTTCGACTCGATTAAGACACTGCTAGATTGTTCTCTCGCTGACAGGCTTGAGGAGGAGCAGGGCAAGGGGGCGACGGAAACGACGACTGACGGAGACGACGACTCGAACAGACAAGCCCCTCACACACGCCGACAGGGTCGGCGGATTTCGGTTCACCCCTCACGGGCTTCGTGGCCCCATAGGGGGCTCCACCGAAGGCCCCAGTGGCAGGGTCAGCATGCCAGCGCCGCACCTATTTCGGCACACCCCTGAGACGCACCGTGGCCCCATGTGGAGCTCCACCAGAGGCCCCAGGAGGGTCCGCATGCCATTGCCGCACCCATGTCGGCACACTCTTCACACGCCACGTGGCCACCCTTAGGAAGCTCCACCGAAGGCCCAGTGGAAATTCCACATGCCACCGCCGCACCCGTTTCGGCACACCCCTCACACGCTTCGTGGCCCCATAGGGAGCTCCACCAGAGACCCCAGTGTGAGGGTCCGCATGCCATTCCCGCACCCATGTCGACATACCCCTCACACGGTTCGTGGCTCCCCTTCAGAACCTTCACCGACGGCCCCAGTGGGAGGTCCACATGCCACCGCCGCACCCGTTTCGGTTCACCCCTCACACGTTCCGTGGCTCCATAGAGAGTTCCACCGAAGGCCCCAGAGGGAGAGTCCACATGCTACCGTCGCACATATTTCGGCACGCTGCTCACACGCTTCGCGGCCCCGGGAGGCCCACCGAAGGCCCCAGAGGGAGGCCTCACACGTTTCGTGACCCAAAGGGAGCCTCCCCCCCTTCGTCCCACCTTGCGTTGCGGTACTCACACGTGCATGTGGCCGGCCTTTCGCAAAAATCATTCCCTCCTAGGCA